CGGAGGAGTAATCGGCCAACTCGGCGAGTTTTACAACACTGCATATGACCATTATGACCGACTGTAACTTGTAAAGTCTGTCATAATTGTCATATATGAACACTTCTAAAAAATTTGTTACCTATACATGTAAAAAAATAATAAATTATCAAAATATAAACAAACCAAAAATAATTATTCTAATAAATCCATTTCCATAATAAAAACTTTAAAATGCCAAAACCAAAATCCAGAGTGAAAAAAGAAGTTAAAAGAATTTTAATATACATAATTCGACCGGATACAATGGAGGAAAAGGGTTTTGCCTGCTAATGTTACAGGTATCCGATCCATGCTATAGATTGCATCATTACAACTTACAAGACTCCCAGATACACACTAGTAGTATTCTTCCAACACACGCAAATCCAAGTCCTTGGATTGAAATTGGGTTTTCCCTGATCAAATTCCCTTAATCGACATTTTTCCGCTGGGGAAACTTTGCTTATTCTTACTTAATTCCTGGTAAGAAAACCTATATTCTTTTCACATGCCTTTTCGCTTTCAAGGTCGTTGATCTTGATTTGTTGTGTTATTTCAATTTGGCGAGCCTAGATCTGTAAGTATCGTTGATTGCCGGTGTTTCTGTTATGTCGGATTTGATAGAATTGGGGGCATCTGTTGTTTATCTTTGGTGACATGAAAGAAGTGGGGAGATCTGTCCATTCGATAGACGTGGTAAAGAAAAAAAGCTCTTCTGGATGCTTGATTATCAAAAAGAAGGTAGCAGATGGTGTTGGCGGAGTTCAAGGGTTTAGCGATTCGTCATCAAGGAAGCTATATTACTCGGCAAAAGAGAAAAAAAGACCAAGAGCGATTAGGAGTGATTCCGAGTCCAGTGATGAGTTCACAGAGCCTTACCGCCAAAAACTTGATAATTTTCACAATGGTTCATCTTTTAGTAATAGGGGTTTTATGGGAAATAGAGAATCAGAGATTGAGAAAAGGGTAAATAATGGGATAAATATGCATGAGTTTGATGAGTATAATGGATTCCATGAGAGGATGAATAGGAAGGATGTTAACGATCATAGACATGGGTTGAAGTTACATTGGCAAAGTGGAGATCTAAAGAATTCTGCAAGTGGTAGTAGTAGGATAATCGATGATAAGAGAAGGGAATTCCTTCATGATAAAAGGAATGCCATTTTGGGTGGAAATAGTAGTAGGCCTATTCATGGCATCAAAAGTGGATACAAGATGGAGGACGATAAATCCCATTTACCCCTTCATTATAGAGAAGTTTCTGATGAACCTATCAGGTTGCAAGGGAAAAATGGTGTTCTAAAGGTGATGGTAAAAAAGCATAAGCAGATTAGTGTTCCACATCAAAGTTATAATCATCATCCAGAAGTTGAAGAGTGGAAAGAATCTAGGCCAGTAGTTTACAAAAAGAAACAACAGAACATGTCCCATAAAAGCCATGATCACTGGGAAGGTCCTAATAGGAAAAAAGCAGCTATGGAGTCTTCTTCATTGCACTCTGCTTCAAGGCATCCTGAGAAACCAGTTTCATTCAAGAATCAAGTGAAAGGTGAAGTTGATTTGGATTTGGAAAAACCAGTTTTAGATGATAGCGATACATCATTACCAATAAAACCATCTGCTGAAAAAATGGTTAAAATTGAAAAAAGAATAACCCCACAAACCAAAAAAGTTACTCCAGTTAAAGGGAAAGAAAGCAAGGTTAAACGTGGAAGTGGCACTGAAAAGCAATTATTGAGAGAGAAGATTAGAAGTATGCTTCTTGGTGCTGGTTGGACCATTGATTATAGACCAAGAAGGAACAGAGACTACCTTGATGCTGTCTACATCAATCCAACAGGAACTGCTTATTGGTCTATAATCAAAGCTTATGAAGCACTTCAAAAGGAAGAAGAGAAAGATCATTCACAAGTAGGTGGAGAATTTACCCCTTTACCCGTTGAAACACTTAGTAAACTAACCAGGCAAACCCGTAAGAAAATTGAAAGAGAAATGAAAAAGAAGAAAAGAGATGAAGGCAACAACAATGGTGATGCTGATGATTCAAATGATAATTATTACATGGAAACAGCTAAACAAGAGAGGGCTGCTGCAAAGAGAAGTGTTGGACTTGGGAATGAATATGATTCTCAAATTCCACAGGGGCAAAAAAGTCGAAAACTCGGAAGGTGTGTTTTGTTGGTTAGAAGTGAAGGGAAAGGCTCTGAAAATGATAGATTTGTTTCCTATTCAGGAAAACGAACCCTTCTTTCATGGCTGATTGATTCTGGAACAGTGGAAATGAGTGAGAAAGTTGAATATATGAACAGAAGAAAGACACGAGTAATGCAAGAAGGGTGGATTACAAAAGATGGAATCCATTGTGGCTGTTGTAGCAAAATCTTATCAGTTTTGAAGTTTGAGCTTCATGCAGGAAGCAAACTCAAGCAACCATATCTGAATATTTTTGGACAATCTGGAAAATCTTTGATGCAGTGTCAGATTGATGCATGGAATAAACAAGGAGAGTTGGAAAGAAAGGGTTTTTATGCTGTAGATGTTGATGGTGATGATCCTAATGATGACACCTGTGGCTTATGTGGCGATGGTGGTGATTTGATTTGTTGTGATGGTTGTCCATCCACCTTTCACCAGAGCTGTTTAGGCATAAAGGTATTAATATTAATTGTGTTTTTATTGCTTTATACCCATGGATATATGGATATATTATTTGTATGTGTATTATGAATTCATTGTTATGAATGTAATGTTTTAATCATGCGATTTCAGATGCTTCCTCAAGGTGATTGGCATTGTCCAAATTGCTCGTGTAAATACTGTGAAACTGAAGCTGGTGTTAGAACTGAAAGTCAACTTCTTGCATGCTGCCTTTGTGAGAAAAAATGTAATGTTTGCTATTTGTTTGTGATCTGATCATATGCTTGTTTCATTAATCACTGTGATTTTAATGTTTGTTGGATTAAATTTAAAACTTGTTGCTGTTGCAGATCATGAATCATGCAGCCTGGAGATGAATGAGAAGCCTATTGATCCCACTGATCCAAACCTGTCATTCTGTGGCCAGAAGTGTCTAGAGGTACTAAAAGTTCTCTTTCCTATTCTGAGTTAATGGATTTTAATCTCATATGCATAAAGAAAATCATGCAGCTGTTGTTATTTCTGTTTCTTTCTTAAGCATATTATCATTAGTATTCTAGTATCTTACATATTAGCTCTGAAGGGAAAAACTAAAGGCACCATCATCATTAGTTTTCACTTGCTTTAAGCTTGATGTGCAGTATGTGTGCAAAGAGATCATGATTTATATTCTCTCCTTTTCTCATTTCACCATTACCCTGCATTCCTATCTCTTTAACTCTTAGTTAAAACAACCTCTTTTCTTGAAACATAGTGAGTAAAGTCCAGTGAAAGTTGCACACAACTGTACGCATGTTACAATATTTATAACAATGAAAAGGCGCAAGAAATATCTAAAGTTGCAACTTCCTTGGGACATAAAAAAGAGAAAAGAGAGAGAGAGAGAGAGAGAGAGAGAGAGAGAGAGAGAGAGAGAGAGAGAGAGAGAGAGAGAGACTATCTTTTTGTTGTGTTATTTGTTTATGACATTCTCTCTTGTAGTTTTGTGGTGTAAATTGTAATTATGTTGAATTTGCAGGTATACAGCCAGCTGCAGAAGCTTCTTGGGGTGAAACATGAAGTGGGTTCTGGATTCTCATGGTCTCTTATTCATCGATCAGATCTTCCACCAGATGCTTCATCCATGGAGTTATCTCAAAGAGTGGAATGCAATTCCAAGCTAGCTGTTGCTCTTTCAGTCATTGATGAGTGCTTTGTTCCTGTTCTTGACAGGAGAAGTGGAATCAACTTAATTCATAATGTTGTTTACAATTGTGGGTAAGTTCAACATACCCTCTTACTTTCTTTACCCATTAACTTCATGTCTGAATTTGCTAATTCTTTGTAATTTTCTTTTGTAGATCAAACTTTAACAGGTTAAACTACAGTGGCTTCTTTACAGCTATATTGGAGAGGGGTGATGAAATGATTTGTGCTGCATCCATCAGGTAGGCTTCTGCTGCTTTACTTAATTTTTAATAAAATTTGTCAATTTCTGTGACCTTAATTTTAAATTTTAATAAAATTTGTTTAGGATCCATGGGACCCAGCTAGCAGAGATGCCATTTATTGGGACCCGCCATATGTATAGACGCCAAGGGATGTGTCGTAGGTTGTTATCTGCTATTGAATCGGTAAGAAAAAGTAGAACCTTTTTATTTGCTTTTGGTGCGTGTGTAAATTACTTGTATACCCTTTTCTTTTCAGGTACTCTCATCCCTTCATATTGAGAAATTGATTATTCCCGCCATTGCTGAACACATGCATACATGGACTGATGTTTTTGGTTTCAAGCCTCTTGAGGAAACACACAGACAAGAAATGAGGTCCATCAACATGTTGGTGTTTCCTGGAACAGATATGTTGCAGAAACCGCTAATTCCAGAGAAAGGTTCATCATACATAAGATAAGATTGGAATTGGAATTGGAAAGCAACATTCCGAAGGCTGACAAATCGGAATCAAGTTCTCCCGATGTTAAAGAGTCGAGACAGAGAATTGCTCCATCGGATTCCGGTTCTCAAGATGCTAGCGATGCCACTCTTTCCATCAGTTCTGTTAAAGTTGATATTCCGTTTCCGGTTCCGGAAAGAAAACCAAATGTTATTAGTGATTCCGATGTTCAGCTTGATGGTGATGATACAGTTATGCAGAATGGTGAAGAGAGTACTGAAAATTTTGCTATTTCTGTTGCCATTCCGGTGAAAAAAGGTGTGCGGGGTGGCAATGAGACTACAAACGGAATTGCTGATGCTGATTCCAAGGTAGAAGGATTTGCTCCGCAGAATGGGAATGTGACGCCTTCCACCAAAACAGGCGGTGCTAATTCCATTCCAGGTAACCCATGTGAACTCATGGGAAAAGAATCAGTTTCTGTATCTACGGATTCCGATTCCAGCAAAGAACTAACTGATGTGCAGGATGACGGAATCACTGATGCTATTCCAATTGACGTGATATCCTTAAACATTTCTCTTGAACCCGAACCACAATTGTCTGGAATGGAATCACTTCCATCTGTTCCCAATTCAGCTGCAAATATAGCAGAATTGATTCAATTTTCAACAGGAAAGGAGAAATAAAAATTCAGATTAAAGTTTTTGATTATGTTATATAACCTATTGATTTGAAGATGATGGGAAGAATATGAACCAAAATCTTTCAAAATCACATGAAAAGTAATTCCATTCGTGAGTTGCTGCAGAGCCTGGAATGGAATGTATAAACACAAGATGCTGCTGATGAGGTTTGAGTTTGTAATTGGTTTTGTGGGTGGGGTCGAGTTGACTCACTCACTGTTGTTGTATCAAGAAAGGTTAATAAACAATTAGGTTGATTGGGTTTTTGAGGACAACATATTTATCAGAGTAATTTTTTTTTTTCCAATTGTATTCGATATGTAACAAAATTTATAATTACAACTATCTTCAACGGGAATGTTGGTGTTGCCAATACAATTTACTTGTTTGTATCTTAACGACTGTTGTGTTTGACTTTTCAGATTTTATTTTCTTTAGTCACACCATTATTTTCTATATTGGATGTTATGTTGATTTATAAAATTGAATACATACATGATTAAATGATATATTTGTAATCATACGCAAGAAACCATTATAGAGTATCCATTATTCTTTAACCACTACATATATTGTTACATTGCATCATAGTCATACATTTAACCATATAGGAAAAGGGTTAAAAGCAAAAGTAATGAATATTAACTTATAATATAATACACAAAGCCTAAAATTTGAGACCTACAAATCTATTGGTCAAAAAATAGAGAGAGAACTTAAAGCAATCTCATGACTCTAAAGTCTAATGAACCTCATCTATGACATAAACTCAATATTGATAAATTTTAATCCATGTTGTGGCTTCACAAAACTAAAATCTTCATACTTGAAGCCTTATAGTTTCAAGAGCCACATCATGACATGACTCCAAATCTATGGTGGTATCTTTGACACCACCAACCAGTCTCACTACCAACATGAGGAAGGTAAATCACAGTATATCCCCTGAGCATGCATGCATATGCCAACCTTAGACCTCACTTATGGATTTTTCACATTCTTACATCAATCATGAATGCATCAATATTCTTCTTCAAATAATTTTGGTTTTTTAAGACATTGACACTCTGGGAAGGGGTTTAAATATAACGAGTTTTTTCTTGTGATTTTCTTGATATTGGGTATTGCAACACCTTTGTGGTCACTTTCGGCTAGCATTACTTGCATCTCCTTCTTGAACTCATCCCAGCTGCCAAAAAAAAAACAACAATTTTGTTATTGCATTTACTCAAATATAAAGATTCATCAATCATAAGCTTATATGTTTATTCATATACAAGATATAATGAATTACCTTATGGTTGTATTGTGGAGCAAAACAACAAGCTTGCGCTTATCTGGCATGATGGTTTTTGCATGTCCATAATGAAATTTCCTATGACCCATCAAAAAATGTGGGAAATTTCCACCTTGTGTTGTTACAAAAACTTCACTGAAAAAGCACACAATGTAGTCCAAAGCAGCCATCCTTGAAGAATAATTCTACATCAAGAAACTACACAAGTTAAAAACTAAGGTGTTGTTTCTTTTTGACTTAACATGGCTTAATGTATTAAGACACTAACCTTAAATGAAGCAAGCTCATCTGGGGTACTAAGTAACTCCTTTGTGTGTAAAAGGGGGAACATTTTCCTCAAAGGGGCTACATTTTTATCAGCTTGATATATTTTTCCTGATGCCAAATAAATTGGAGTTGTGTTTGCAAATCCCATACCCCTTAGCATCATCCCTACCTATGCTTTAAACAAATTAACCCTCAAACACGAACTAAAATTCAAGAAATTATAAAATTCATGAGTTCTTGAAACTAACCTCTAAAGGTGTCATTGGACACCTTCCATTGATTCGATTACGAACAGGATCTATAATATAATCTTTACGTTTAAATTTATCACCCCAATCTTTTTGGCGTATTGAATCCATTTCAAGTTGTTCAGATTTCCCTCCATCATACACACAACATGAAAAGGCAACCATGTCCTAAATCACATGCAATCAATAAGTATCTATTACATGATTCATTAGGAAAAATGGATAACAATAGTATCATACCTCTTCAAACCGAAGGTGGATAGAAACGTAATTTCCACCTGAATTTGAACTATCAACAGTCATTCTGTTGACTAGCATCTTGGCAACTGTGATGATGGAGTTAGAGAATCTCAATGCTTCATAATTAGCAACACATCTAAGATATTGAATATGAGGAGGGAGATTTGGAGACAATCTATTTGCAAAAGGAGCAATTCGAACAATCCTGCATTGAATTTTTCAAAGAATGAAAAATAAAGAAATACTCAAATTTTACAATTATATTAAGAACCAACCTCTGTTCTTTGAGGACAGGATAAACTTGTTTTAAGTAGTAATTGGCAGATGCCCAAGCTGGGACCCGAAAGTTTGGAATATTGCTTATACTAAAATTGTAATTTTCCATTAATTCCTTTGGGAGCTCACGAACTACATTAACATACTCTTTAAGGGTGGCTATGAAATGGTCTTCATCATATATGTCTGCAAACTCACTGTGAAGAACAAAGATTAGAAAAGAATATTAATTGAAAGCAACAAAAAGTCAAAAAAAAACTCCTTATTGCATTTCAAGATTAATGGATGTTCATTAAGTAATAGGATTTGCCTGCTATCCCTCCAAACATTATGAAAATTAAAAAGAGGAATGAGTAGTGTAGCATTCAAAAGACCTGCAACTGCCACTGCATTACATATCTGTCATTTGAAGATTCATTGTTATGTTAATATATTTAGAGGAGAAAATAAGTAAGCTAATGGATTATGGATGTTCATTAGGCTTACAGATGAACGTTGTTGATTTAGACCACCATTTGCCTCCACAACCAAGTATTGATCAGGTATGCCAGTTTCTGTGATAAAAGATTTTCATTAGTTTATAGGTACACATAAAGAAGATGGCAAAATACATAATCATTAGAAGAGACTACCACTGAATTGAAGTAGAAGTACAAATACCAAGATATTGATGAGATGTTGTAGGGCAAGGTTTCTGCTCTGTCAACTTCATTTTTTGTCTCCATACATCTGACAACTAAGTCAACAAGATACAATTTTTCTTTCAGCTTCAAGCATATAATGTAATGTAGCCGACAATTAATTACTGTATTCGCTGAATCAATGGACAATACTGTGATCTATCTTGGATAAAGATGAGAAACCAATAGAAATTAAGATGTGAAAGCCCCCTCTTCGAGATTTAGATATTACAGAACTGTAGCAGTAAGGTTGGGGATAAAAGGATTTAAAATTGGGAATAATAATGGTATAATAAACCATATAATACCTGGATTCCAGAAGAAGTGTCAGATTGAATGTCAGTCAGGAGATTCTGGAAGATCTCATGACTACGATAAATGGAGCCAGGCAAAGGATTGGGAAATAGCATTGCGGACAAGGGGCCGACGAACGTGATCACAGCCGATAAGAACAATAACGGGAGTAGAAGCAAGTAGCCAAAGATCCTTCGCCGGAAAAAATTTCCGTTTAAAAGATGTGGACGCCGTCGACGGGAGTTATAAGAGCGACCTCGCCGGCGAGAAGTGGAATGAGTAGTAGGAGGAGACGGGGGTGAGCTCAAAGATTTGCCACTGCTGCTGCTGCTGTAGTAATTGAGAGTGGCATCCATGGCATATTATTTTTTGGATTCAAGGCGTAGTGACGTTTGGGGAAAAGTGAGATCTTCTCTCCTGTCTTTTTCTGTACATCCCATTTTTAAGGAGTAATTCGTCTGAACCCTTAAATTCATCCGAATTCGATTATTTTGTATAGTTTTCAAAACACCTCGCGTCGGGTTAAGTTTTTTTAGAACGGTAACTAATAATTACTTTTTAACTACTCTTAATTTATATTTACTGTATTGGGACGAGGATCTGGACCTTTTACATTTTAGCATGCCTCTTAGAATCAAGAAATATTAGTTCGAATATGAAAAACGTAAATAGAAACAACGAATTGGAGAATTAACAGTATCCCAAGCAGGAACACTTGATAACTTTATAAAAAATAATCATCAAACTTGTCTAAAAATTAATTTTTGGGCAAGAACCTCCAAAAATATACCAGGATCGATCATATGGTGATAATAGTGCCTTTAAAACAGAACCCAAAAATTTGGTATCTATAACATCCGTTTTTTGGATTGATCAGTTAAAGACTTAAGAATTTTTAGAATAAAGTTTTTAGGAAAAACCTTAAATGGCGGCGCGGTCAGATGATGGTCGTGGTGCTGCCACGTAACTTAAATGGCAATGCGGTCAGGTGTTGGTCGCGACAAGGTGGCGGTTGGGTTCAAAACCTTAGGCCTCGGCCCTTGGGCCTTATATAATAGATCTAACTTTTAGGGTTGCATGCATTCATCAGCCTCCACCCCAAAAAGAGAAACCCTAGTGTGTTTGTGTGTTTTTGGTGCCTTGAGTGTGTGTTTTGATGTTCCAAGCATAGGAATGCTCTTGGATGATGAAGAAGGTGATCTTGTAGCTTGAGGAAGTGGTTCATACTTCAAAATTTGTATCTCTTGCACTTTGTGGAGCTTTTGAAGGTATAAAGCTCCCACATTTATTGCTTATGATTCTCATTTCATGTTTTGAGGTCCTTTAGAAGAGTGTTCTTGGAGTTTTAGAAAACTCCAAAACCTTAGGTTTGGTTTGTGTTCATTTCTAGTCTTGTGTTGGTAGAAAAATTAGTATGCTTTGGTTTCCTTGGAACCATGCATAAGTTTTGGCCATTATAAGAATCTAATGGAGTTAGTGTATGAGTTTGTCCTGATTTTCAAAAAAAATTCATTTTTATTTGTTTAAATATATCATAATATAATTACATTATGTGGAAAACATGATACGAATGCGTGTGTGTACAGTCGAGTCTTGCCCTTCTCATGAACCGAGGAAGTACCTGAAAACATTTATAATCAACTGGGTAAGCACGAAGCATAGTGAGTTCTCCAAAATATCATATCTCACAATACATATATA